ACATGGAAATTTTTTTAAAAATTCTGATCCTTATTTGACCTCTGCTACAAATCACTGAATTTTCTGGAAAGATTTCGATCTAAAAAAAAAGGGGTATAAAATCCGTGCCTGAAGCAATGTCGGTCGTCTTAAACAGTTTGGAACGTATTTCCATAATTTCCGTTGCTCAGTTAGTCCTTATCTCAGAGGAATCTAATTTAGAATTGTCGACAATTAGTCGTGAGTATCATTGTGGGTATTTTCCTAGTGTTGCAACGAACTTTGCTCACAGCTGCCTATCTCGCTTCTTTGAAAGACAACTGGTTGCACGAGCCTACATCTTTCATCTATTCAACTTTCCAGCTAAAGAATAAGTCAAAGTCATATTCCCTTTTTTCTTTCCTTCTCTATTTTTTTTCTTTTTTTCATGATTTTATCTTTCTTTCTGTGAATTTTTAAATTATTATTTTTATTTCGCGAATTCTTTCTTACAGTGGATCGTAAACCCGAGCTATACGGCCAGACATCCGAGCTCGAAGGAAACAATTTTTATTTAACTGCGTTACACTGTCCTTAATCTTCTCGCCATATAGGTACTATAGGTACTATAGATACTGTTGAGACTAAGGCTGACGGCGGTCGTTTAAGGAACCCTCGATAGGAAGCTTGAATCCTTCGTGATTCCAGCAGATGTCGCGGGCCTAACGTGAGGGGGGCCCCTCCCCTACTACATTTTTTTGTTTTTATATATACGTTGTTGTACATCCGTCTTGTACGGTAGCGTGTTACTAGGCTGCACTCAAGGCAGCATTTTTCGTAATAAAGTAGTTTTCTTCAACAAAAGGAAGGAGATGCCGCGAGTGTTTATTTCACCTCACGTCACACTCAACAGGTACTATATGTGCCAAGACCCGTTCGGTAAACATCAGAAGTCATCAAGTTCCATTCTCATCGGTCACGCGATTCACCTACACATAGATAAATACATTTCTCACTACACCATTATCATTATCTGTTTCACTAAATCTTTAAGATTTCCCTCTTCGACACTCTTCGATAACCCCATCTTCTAAACTCTAGGTCTCTGTCTCCGGCTGAATCCTAGGCGGATCAATAGGCAGAATAATTGACCTCTTGTCGGATTCACTCCTTGATTCCGATTTTTCTAACAAAGAATCCGTGTCCACTATATAATATTTCCCTGATTCTCTGTTGTTCGATTCGTCACCTTAGGCGTCAATTTCCTCAATTTTATTTTACCTTCTGAAGAATGACACTAACACAACACCACTATATAAATTTAATTATTTTTCTTTATACTACTACAAAATTATTGTAACAAGATATTTTTGTAATATATAAATATCACAGCACCAATAATCATATTAAATCAATTTGATTGAATTTATTTATTTTCTTTTATTTTTTCCCGAGATTTTCTCCGCTTATTTCCCGCTCCTCAATTTTGTATGGATTCCGTCTTTGGTAAAAAAGATTTAATTCCTTAGCCTAAAAAAGAACCTGCGAGGAATTGACCTGCTGACGGAGTAAAACGACCTTCCTAGTCGCTGACCCGTCGATCCTTCGTTTGGTTCAGGCGATCAGGCCAATTCACATTGATCGCCGAGTGTAAAATCTTTTTATCAGGACGTAACAATAAAATATGCACATATTATTTGTATCATGTTTTTTAATATACGCATACTATTATTATTATACAGAATGTTCCAGCAATCGTGGTACAACCGGGACGGGAGTGATTCCTTATAAAAAAATAAGTCAAAAGTGCAGAATAAAATTTTTACATATGAGGCTTTCGAGAAAAATGACTTTAAAAATCCGTCAGGTACGCGTGTACTAACTGTAAGTCTCAACTTGACGGACCTCTGTTTCTGCTCTTGTTTGTATTTGTAAACATGGGCAATGTCATGATTTGCTTCCTGTCATTGCTATTATCTTATTTACTGTTGGTTTATACTATCAGTCTGTTTTGTTCTGTCACGATATTGAGATATACTAATCGAGAATACGTGGACATGATCCTTATTTTGGGAGCATGTAATGACAACGCGTCTGCTGCAAGTCGCTTGTACAGAGAGAATGTTATTTGAATCACCGTTATCCCGATAGACGCATAATTGCAAGAGTAGAGCGAAATCTCTTTGAATGTGACTCTTTTCTGTTAATCTTAAATAACGCAGTGGGCGACAAATACGTTAAAACGTAGAAAATGAAGTTATCGAAACTATGATTAATAATCCTGAGTTAAATACGAGGAATTTTTTTTCACGGCACCATGTTAGTAGATCGACAATTCATCGTATACTATGTAAGAATGTAATGCACCCTCACGTACAGAGAATGCAAGGACTTATGCCTCGTGACTTCATTCAGCAACTGGCTTTCTGTCACTAGTTGCAAATCATGACATTGACATGTTTACAAATACAAATGAGCAGAAACAGAGGTCCGTCAAATAGAGACTTACAGTTAGTACACGCGTACCTGACGGATTTTTAAAGGATTTTTAAACAAATTAAAATACAGCGTAAAAATAAGTTTTAAATGTAGAAAACAATTAATCTTAACGCTATAATTAGACGAAATTGCAATACTAAATATAAACACTTCTTTTTCTTGAAAACGACGCAAAAACATTATATGCAAAAACTTTATTCTGCACTTCGGACTTATTTTTTCATAAGGAATTACCTTCTTCCCGGTTGTACCACGATTGCTGGAACACCCTGTATATTAAGCTGTACTGATAAATTATTTCGGTAATTGCTTTTTCTTTTGAGTTCCTCTATTTAATAAAGAATCTCATTCTTCTACCATTTAGTGCGTGAGGAGAGTCACCGCATAAAATTTTGTCACTATACTATGTGAGATTTTGTTCGGTGCGAATTAGCCTGCCTAGCGTCCAACTAACGAATATTCTTTACCGTTTGGTAAAAATTTAGTATAAGATGTTGAGAGTAGCGACAAAGTTGTGGCTGAACGTGCGTCTCCGGATTTGTCGGCCCGGAGAAATAACACGTTGCAATCATTATTTTATTTGTTTAATATAATATAAGTCGAAGTCCCAGGAAAGTTTCCGGAAAGTTCGGGAATTTTCCCCAATTTTTTTTTAACTTTCCCCTGAGCTAAGAAAAGTTCCCAGATCTGCGAAAGTTGATATTTTATCCAAATAAGAAGTCATTAAGCACGTCTGCTTGATCCCTTCTTTCCACAATCTTTCCTGTAAGCCCTAGGCAATTTGGAAGTGGAAATTTCAAATTATTAAATAAGCCTTTAAAAATTTTTTAAAATAGCTTTTATTTTTAGAAGCTAATTTTTACCTGCAAAAGCGTCTTCACATTCGAAAAGCCCAGTCAAGTCACAATCTAACTTTACGTCAGTCTTTTCCAAATAAACAAAATGTGAAATAACAGAAGGATAAAATTGCCGTACAGTTTGACCAATGTACAGAAGAAAAAAATACTTTGATCCATTGCAAACCCCAAATATAGTTTAATTTAATTTGCAATGCTATAATCAAAATCCTATAATCAAAATAAAATTTCCTTGCATGTTGAAGCGTTATTTTTGCGTAAATAGCAGAGGAATTACGATCCTTGCAGAAACACAAAGAAAAGCGAACTTTCCCAGGTTATGGGAATGTTCATCGAAATGTTCCAGGAACGTTCCCCAAATTGAACTTGCCCGGAAAACTTCGAACTATAGTTCAATATTTAACATCTTTAAAAAAATATGGTTTAATACGGACGTAATCCATGCTGATCTACTACAATATTACTGCGATTTGTTATATTGATCAAATTTGCTACAGGATTATAAATTGATAAGTTACTAATTTATAGTAGCATCCGGATATAGTGTTGCTGTTTGTATTAACAAGGGGAACACCAGAGATTGCGCCCTCCAGTTTCGCTGAATTTTATATATGTTGTAGAAGTACCCTCCCACTAATTTATCGTAAAATAATAGAATCCGCCTCTCAAGCATTCGCGAGAAAAACATGTTTAAAGATTTACGTGCGCGTAATGTAGCGTACAGTAAGAACAGATTGACAGCTAAGCGGCGTAGCTTAGTAAGTAAGGCGCCTGACTACTGCGTAAAATTTTTTTTTTAAACCTTTATTACAGCGTATTATTATGGTGTGTACTTTTAACCAGTTCAGTGGTAGACTTTTCCGAAAGATTTGTGCTAAAAGTGGTAAGAGTCAAAAGTTAAAATATCGAAAAACGGTGAAACATTTAAAGTTTTCAAAAAAGCAACTTTTCGGAATAGGTGTAGATCCCCCCCCCCCCCCC